AGCTGTAAGCTAATGATAGTTATATAAGAGCAGATGCTGCTGGTGCAATAAGCTGTACGTTTTATGTCAAAATGGATGATGATCCGATTAGTCGACTAAGTGCTAAAGTAATCGGTGACTAGTCGACTATCAAAATAATCATTTGTAGCAGCCCTACTGTTAATATTTAACAAAGCAGATTCTGATTTTTCTCATGCATAAACATGAAGATCACAACTTATTTACAATTGTCTTCTAACTATAATCACATCTGATTGAAGTGCAGAAGCAAAACAATGACAGTACACATTAACAGGCTTTACTTTATACTATAAATATACCAAGTAACACAAAAAGCAGGATTCTGGAGTGTTTGTTAAAAAAAGAGGAAAAGGAAACATGAAGTCAATAAATCAAATGTTGCTGATGAGATTAGGAACAGGACACGAAGGTGAACTGAACAGAAAAAGACACAAAGCTTCCTCACAGACGTATTCGTCCTAACTGTTGGTGGATAAACTGTAAAGTGATTTTCAGCTGGTGTTGCCGACTCAGCTGTGAACACTGATGCTTCATTTAACAGAACAAAAACATGGACACCAAGAAAAACACACAGACAGTAATGTGCACTGATTTGTGAGTGCATACACACATACACACTAATGGACTGACAGACAAACTTCATCCAGACAGACAGCAGGCATGAGGAGGAGGAGGAAGAGGAGGAGGAGGAGGGTACCTTTCTTAAAGAGCGCGCGGGGAGAGCTGGAGGGAGGTCGCTGACCTGGTGGTGGAAAGCGTCAAAGTGCATCGACAGGTGTTGCCCTACAGGGGGAGACACAGCAGGACTGACTGAGAGAAACTCGCACACACTCACACACATTTCAGACCAGAGAGGAGGAGGAAGAGGAGGTGGGAGGAGGGGCAAGGGGGAACGAAGGTCAGAGAGTGGAGAACAAGAAAGTACAGGCAGGTGGGTGGGGTTAAAACAGGAAAAGGGGGGAGTTGGAGGAGTGTGTGGAGGAGGGGAGGTGTTCAGCTCTGATAGCATTTAAGTTGTTTGATTGCAGTGGTATGTAGTGTGTGTCTGTGTGTGTCTGTGTGTGTCTGCAGTGAAAACGAGATCAAATTAACGTAAGTTCACTCTCAGAAAACGCTTTCTTTCTCTCTCTCTGTGCTTCGAGCCGTGCAGACGTCTCCTCTGAGGTTACAGGAACCACCAAACGCTTCATAAACACTTCATGAACCTGAACTTTCACTCTTGGGACTCAAAGGTTTGAATAACGCGATTTGCTTTTAAAGGTTTCTGTGAGGGACTAATACGAGTCTGCATTGTCACAAATACTCCTGAATGAAAAGCAGAGCTGCTTTGAATCCCCGATCATAGAGGTCACGGAGAGGAGAGGCCAGCACTATTCTGTTAATACTTTCTTAGCCAATCAAAGCACAGCTTGCTTAAAGGGGGAAAAAAGCTAAAACAGCTGTTTTCAGACAGAAGACAAACTGAGAGGCTGCACTGAGACCCACAATTAGATACACAGGGATCATGGAGCTAACAGAGGTCAGGAATGAAGAACAGAGGTACAACCACTAACACTGAAGTGTTTCTCTGTAGCTGTGAGCTGTCTGTGAGGGGGACAAACAGACAGTGTTGTGAAGGTTACTTTTAAAATGTATTCCATTACAGATTACAGATTACATGTCCCAAAATGTATTCTGTAACGTATTCCGTTACGTTACTCGATGAGAGTAACGTATTCTGAATACTTTGGATTACTTAATATATTATCATGCTGTTTACAACTACATGAATGTACTATTGCTGT